AAAAGACATTTTGAAATTGGATTGGGCAAAAAAAATTTTAGACAATTCTAAAATTATTGTTAATTACTTTCAATCACATTTAATACTATTAGCAATACTTCGTCGGCTTCAAATTGAAAAATATGGACATATTATTTCATTAGTATCAACAGTAGATACACGGTGAGGATCAGCATTTTATTGTATGGATCATTTATTACAAACAAAAGTTGCAATTCATTCTATATTAACTGAAGATAGCATTGAAATTGACTACAATATTAAACTTTTAATTATGGATGATCAGTTTTGGCAAAATCTTAAAAATCTTCGTGATTTTTTAGAAAATTTTATTAATATTATTAATGAGCTTGAGGGAGATATTCCACTTTTATCAGTAGCATTTATAAAATTAAGACAATTAGAAACATTTGTACGTAATAATACTTGTGTTCCAAATACAATTGTTGTAGAAAGTATACGACTTGTAGAACATCGCTGAAATGATTTTTTGTATAATCCAGCAATTATGGTAGCATATAAACTAGATCCTCGATATTGTGGTGAAATTCTAGATCCAAAAAAATGGGATTCACCAATTGAAAGAGAATTAATACGTCTTGCTGGGCCAGAAAATGAGAATCAAATTTTAGAAGAGTTTGCCGAATATGTAGAAAAAATTAATAGATTTTCAGCCAGTTATTTGTGGAGTCCTATTAAAGAAAAACTATGCAATTGGTGGAATTTAGTTAAAGCACGATATCCAGTATTAAGTGATATGGCATTAAAGTTACTTTCAATACCTGTAACATCCGCTGCAAGTGAACGAAACTGGTCAGCATTTAGTTTTATTCACACTAAATTACGAAATCACTTACTCAATCCACAAGTAGAAAAAGTCGTATATATATATTGGAATCTTTGGGCTTTACGCTTAATAAACTGGCCACTTACAGTAAATGAATTAAATCAAAAAGGTTATTTGATCGAAAATAATTATAGTTTAGAATCAAATACACCAGAGTTTATAAATAATGAAAATATCAATTTAGAATCAGATGAAATCGAATTAATAGAAAGAAATAATTCTGACT